TCAACATGCATTGCCTCAAAGAAGAGATGCTTCCGGATTCCCTTCAAGATGGCATCCACAAAGGCATCGGTGTACTGTGCAGATGCTCTGGACAAGGTTCCACCTTCAATGGGTTGATGTTCATGTTGTTGATTACATCTCCTTGCCAGAGTCGAGGCCAGTTCCTCAACATTCGTGAGGAGCAGCGTGGGCTTCTTGTGCAGTCCTTGGGTCCCTTGGAGACCAAAAGCACACATGTCCAACTGCACGGTGAAGACGGCCTGGTTGGTTGCCAGCCGCCGCAGTGAGGCGGTGCGCCAACTTTTGGCGCCGAGAGGGTGCTCAAACAGAAACCCTCTGCCATTTTCAATTTGTAGGTTTGCCAAAGCAACGGCAAAGTCGAGATGTTGACGACCCTGTGCTTCCTCTGATTGCACCTCCGTGAAATCTCGCTTGTGGTTGGTGAGGTTGCGCAAAGGTGAGAATACGCAGCAGGGAGGACTCAAAATCAGAACTGCAGGACGTGTCTTACTGAGAAGGCTCAATGCTGCCCTTCTATGGGCTCTTTTTGAGAAGTCCCATCCAGTGGAGAGATCTAATGCCCATCCTGGTCGAAGGCCGAGCAAGCGAGCTCTCTTTGTCACTCGAGGAGGGGAGTAGACCTCTGCAACATCCACCTTGTTGAAGCTAGCTGCCACAACCCTTTTGTGATCTTTGGTCAAAGGCGCAGTGCGACCAAAGTGATCTGTAGACCAACTCAGCAACGCATCACTCACTGAGTACAAGTAGCAGTGAATCATACCATCTTGCACTTCGTGGATCATATCCTTGTCCTTAGTCCTCGTGGCGGGCGTCGGTGTTCGTGATGACGGCGACGCCTTTGACTCATCCGTCGACATCCACTCCTGAGCTTCAGAGCTCCAAAGGAAGTGCTCATGAGGGGCATCAAGTCCCACTGAGGACATGGAGGACGGAGGTGTTTGCGTAGCCGTGGTCAAGAGGATCATGACAGCCTTCAACAACCATCCCCCTTGAAGAATGCTGCGTTTTAGACTCCTGAGCTGAGGGCTTGACGTGTCTTCCAAGTAGGAGCCGTGAAGGAAGACTCCAGCTCCCTTCTTTCTCACATTTCGGTCTTGGCCCTCGGGAGCTCGACCATCTCGGCATCGATCGTCTCCTCGTCCGTGTTGATCTCCCAAGTCTCGACAGTCTTCGCCGAATTGACACTCACTGACCTTCTCGATGGAGTCTTGGACCTCTGTGTGGGTCGAAGGCCTGAGGAGGTCATCCTTACTCGCGATCTTGGTGGTGAAGATGCTGTCCCACCAGCTGGGACGGCCTCCGTCGGTGCTGTGCTTGACATGGG